GGGCACAGAGAGCAGGGGCAGGAAAGCGATGGAGGGCACAGAGAGAGCAGGGGCAGGAGAGCGATGGAGGGCACAGAGCGCAGGGGCAGGAGAGCGATGGATGATTCAGGGTGCAGAGAGAGAAAGAGGACAATGAGTGAGGGAGCGATGGAGGCTGAGAGACAGAGGCTGTCCAGGAGTCACAGAGGGAGAGAGAGGGACTCAGCAGTCTGTTGTTCCTGAAGCAGCTCCCGCTGCAGCCGGCCCAGTAAATGAGTTCCAGACTGTGTTTTAAGTGGCTTTCCGCAGGAAGACGTCCCATTTGGAGATCTGTCACTGCACCGCTGTCATCCGGGGCTGCTGCCCTGTGATGTGGGCTGGCTGGGACGGGGGAGGGGCGGGTGGGGGTGGCAGCTGGATGGAATGGGACTCCTGTCAGGCCGGATGAAGGGAATGTGACTCCCGGGCGGAGGGAGAGAGAGAGAGAGAACCTGCATGGCCGGTGAGTCACGCAGAGAGAGAAGCCCAGGGACGAGAGGGAGGCCAAGGCCTGCAGATGGAGCCACTTAGTCTCGAAAGCGGACGAGCAGCTGGGGAATGTGGGGGGGCGGCTCATCTGAGCTCCTGTAGGGGCTGATTCACCACGAACGCAGTCCTGGAGTCCGGAGAGCTCAGCAGAAATAGAGAGCTCACACACAGCAAGGTCTCACGGCCTCGTGCTCGGGTTTGTGTGAGGAATAGGGTTAGGCTGAGGGCTGGACGCCTAAATTACTTTTGTTTCCAAAGGATGTCAAAGCTCTTCACACACAGGAGGGGACCCAGCTCCTCCCCAGTGAAGAGCAGCCCCTCCTGGGAGACACACTGCAGCCCCACTGCACAGCAGCTCAGGGCAGGAGAGAGACACTGCTGCTCCAGGGGGTGAAGGGAGGTCACTGGTGTTAACACACCTGCTCTGACAGTGTCATTGGATCTTTAATAATCCAAATAGACCTTTGTTTAATGTCTCATCTGAAGGAAGGTACTTCTTACAGCACAGTGTCCCTGGCCGTCACACTGGGGTATTGATTTAGAAATTCTGGTTTTGGTGAAACAGTGCCCCCTTCTGGTTCACCAACAGCTTCCATAGCATTAGCCATCTGGTTTCCTCAGTCTCTCCTGCCAGTACTGACCTCGCTTCGCTTCTGAGATCTGGCCAGACTGAAAGGTGAGAAGCCAGCTTATGTGTACAGTAAACTCACCGCAACATACAGTCAGACAATATCGAAGAGGGTGGAATGGACTCAGTTTCCAGAGAGAGGGACAAGAAAGGGGAAGTCTTGAGACAGTAAAGGAACAATAAGGAGGATCTTGTTTCTTAAGTTCCAGCTCCACTGTGAAGACATTTTTTTATAAATCCTGTGTCTTGAAAATTATTAAATTACCAAAATAATTATTCACAGGTTGTACTGGGTCTGATCTGCAGCAGTTTGTTTAAATCCTAACAAACATGAGAGAGAGGGTATACTGTATGCAGCTCACCTGGTTGAGGAAATACAGCACCTTGCAAAAGTATTCACCCCCCCTTGGACTTTTTCACAGTTTATTGTGTTACAGCATGGAACTATGACCTATTTAACTGGATTTCTTTTTTCACTTTGACATTATAGAGTACTTTGTGTTGATGAGTGGCAAAATGTATCAGTTAAATACATCACGGTTCCATGCTGTAACTCAATAAAATGTAAAAAAGTCCAAGGGGGGTGAATACTTTTGCAAGGCCCTATAAGCAGTCTCATCAGAAGGACCGGGCTGCTCAGACCCCTCTCAGATCACGAGGATTGAGCCAGGGAGCTGCTGCAGGGGTGGTGGGAGGAGTACGAGAGAGATGCACTATGGGAGTGCCCCTAGGTACGAGACTAATGTACACAGGCGAGCGGAAGTGTGTGAGATGAGGGTCCAGCCTTCGTCTCAAAGTTTTCTTATAACTTCGCTATAATTCAATGTGTGACAATGGTATGTTTTTGTTGAATTGTAATTTGCAATTGCAATCCACCCATTTTCCAACCCCTTCTTCCAATACAGGGTTGCAGGAGTCTGTCCCAGCAAGCCATAGGTGCAAGGCAGGGTACATCCTGGGCAGGACGCCAGTCCGTTGTAGGGCAGACAGACACAAACACACACTTGCACCACCCAGTTTTCCCAGAAGCCAATTAACCCACCAGCATGTCTTTGGACTGTGGGCAGAAAGCGGAGCACCTGGAGGAAACCCACACAAACATGGGGAGAGCATGCAAACTCCACACAGACAGCACCCCAGGAACTGAACCCAGGACCCCACAACTGCAAGGTAGCAATGCTGACCACTGCGCCACTCACAATGTTATAATTTCATAGAACTGCCATTTTCAATACAACCTAAAGTTTTCAAACAATTTTTGATTCTCAAAAACAATTTATAGTACTGTCTTGAGGCAAAATAGGGTTTATGACCTCTATCCTGCCACAGTGACAGACAGTGAACTGGGAATAATCAGCATGCAGCAGACAGAACACTGTCACTTTGTTCTGTATAGCACAGCATTATATTAGAGACAGGCCAATAACTGCAAGGTGTCAGAGTACAAAAGATCCACTTACCAACACAGAGAACAATATTTTAATTAAACTCACCAGGGCAATAAAATCAATCAATTGCACTGAAATGGCAATACAAGTCTTTTATTTTGTACATACATTGTCTTGACCCCCAAGAAATTAACCGAAAAGTTTCTAGAGAGAACTGGGGCATTTCTAAGGAAATACAAAATAGGCCATCGCTAGGTTATTTTTGTCATGGGATTCTGGTACTAGTACTAAGAGAATTAATCTTGCATGCTAGTTTTTATAATAAGGCATATTTATAATTTACAAGCACTTCAGCAACATATGTTCAAAACAGATAGGGATAGCTCTCGAGAGCAACTCATCTCTGTAGAAAGATAAGCAGGAAAGAGGTTGAGGACCTGGTAGTATGGTGCCAGGACAACAACCTCTCCCTCAACATCACCAAAACTCAGGAGCTGGTTGTTGACTTCAGGAAGCAGGGAGGAGGCCGCGCCCCTGTCTGCATCCATGGGGCCGCTGTGGAGATGGTCAGGAGCTTCAGGTTCACATCACCAACAGCCTGACCTGGTCCCATCTCACGGGCGGAGAGTCATAAACCAGCGCCTCAGGAGAATCAGGAGATTCGGCATGTCTTCACGTACACTCGGGAATGTCTACGGATGCATTATAGAATGCATTCTCACTGGATGCATTGCAGTCTGGTATGGCAGTTGCTCAGCTCATGAATGGAAAAAACAAGGTGGTGGAGACAGCTGAGGCCATCACTGGCGCAGAACCCCCTTCCATCCAGACCAGCCTCAACACACACTGCCCCAGAACAGCGAATAATACAATCAGGGATCAGACTGCCCTGGGAATGCACGTTTCTCTCTTCTTCCTCCTGGCAGAAGATATAGGAGTATAAAAGCTTGGACCTCTAGGTTCAAAGAAAGCTTCGCCCGCACAACTGTAGGACTCCTGGACTCCACCTCTAAAATCCTCCCCCCACCCACTTAGACCCCAGACCCCAGAGGACTAGAGAGTTGTCTAAGACTGCAAAACCCGTTTACAATACAACACTATGGAATCTCTTGAAAAAGAAGTAAACTGCTGCACAGACGAGTAAGCAGAAGACTCCTCTTTTGAAGAAGACGGCAGCAGCTGATGACAGAAAACCTCACCCTGCCGCCACACAAGAGGTCAAAGCTTACTGCACGCTTAACCAGGGAGTCGATCAGGAAGAAGGGGGAAATTCGGAACTGGTCAAGTCAGTCTCCTGATCCGAATGCTATTGAGCACACATTTTAGTAGTTGAAAAAGGAAACTAAAGTCAGAAAACCCCACAAAAAGCAAGAACTGTAAGAAGATGCAGTTAAGGCTGGGCTCAGCATCTCAGCGGAACATCTGAACATTCGGGTGGTGCTGTTGGACCGCAGGCTTGAAGCAGCCATTGTATGTAAGGAGTATGCATCCAAATACTCTTTACACTGGGCGAATATGCTTGAAGGCAATTTGTCCAGGTACTCACCTGAAATAGGGGATTAAACACAACAAACGACTGCATTCTAACATGGCTAAACAGGTGTGCAAAATAATGCCCAGAAATAAAAGCTGAAATTCTATACGTTTTCCTCATATTAACATTTGAGCTGAAATACAAATTTGTATCAGCGCACAGCAAAAATGTTCAATTATCTTCACTGTTCCAGATACTTCGGTTTTTGACTGTAGATGATATACTATTCACCACATCATTACCGATATTATCACGCAACAAATAATAAATATGTTTGAACATTTTTTGATTATTCTCTAAACCCTGATAGCTGTGGCACGGTGAGCTACAGAGCAATGTGTTGAGCTACGCTAGCGTATGAAAGGCAATCACAGCGCACCGAACACCACTGTGCTGACAGCCGGGGGCGGCCGGTAGAAGCCGTATTGCTGAACAGCCCAGAGGGGCATCACGTGACAGGAAAAAGCGCTGTCAGGCGATTGAGCTGTTTTCTGTGTTCGCCCTTACCCGGAGTTTTTTATATTAATAATTAACTCGTGGCCATGTGGCCCATAGTTGGGAGCGGTTTTTACATTTTTAAACGGGTTTTCTTGTGTTAGCTCCAGGGAAAAAAGGGGATTTATTTTCTAGGCCATATGGGTACTAGAGGAACAGACAGCGATAACAAGGCAGGGAATTTTGTTCCTAAGATGAAAACCACAAACAAAAACAGACACACACAGAGCGCACTGATGTATACGTGCCTTAAAGAACCGAAATGAGAGCTTTTATTCTCATAAATATTATTAAGACGGTCGTCGTCCGTGCTGCTAGTCTCGCGAGATCTCGGCATGCCTCCTCCCTCTCCCAATCGACAGGGCTGTCCAAGTCTCGCGAGAGTGCGTCTCCCTGCCTGATTTCGGCTGCTGTCACCGTCGGAGGTAAGTGCGGCTCTGCGCAAAGGGATTGAATTAAACAAAGCGAAAAATATGCCCATATTGTCAAAAGCGAGGGACAGAAAATAACAGACCGCACCCTCAGACTACCAACTTGTTTGCGTCGGCGTCCGAAAACCGAGACGGTTGTCGTGACACGGAAAAGAGCGAAGGGTTTTCACTGATCCTGTGTCGTGACTGGCGAGAGAGGAGCAGGGGAGCGGAGGGAGTTCAAGAAAATAACAATAAAAAAAAAACGAACGCGGTCGGGAGAATATTTGCTTCTCATAATATCAGGTATACCAGGGTCCAGATTTTTTTTTGCACGCGTATTAGAAATATGTTGTGCATTTGCCTGCGACATACGCGGTAGGTGTGAAAACCATTCATTTATCCCCCGGTAAGACAATAACGCAGCCGGAGCTCACGGAGACGCGACAAAGGCGCACAGCTGCCAGCCCGTGGCCGTGCACACGCGTGTTCACTGCACGGCGGGGACCCGGAGCCCGGGAGCCGCTCCACCTGCGCGGTACGGCGCACCCGCCTCACGGTGCCGCTTCGGGCACGGCAGCGGAGAACAGAGGCGAACGGCGGCGTCCGTCTCCATGGCGGGAGGTTCTGACGAGCAGGGGGGTCGTGTGTAGCCTGAAGTGACAGGGGCTTTCGGAGCCTGTGCTTGGCGCACCTCACTTTCCCAGCGGGGGAGTCGGGAGCCGGGGACAGGTTTAGGCGATCCGCGGCCCGGAAGTGTTGAGTAATCCCGCAGTCTGGAGAGGTGTGAAGCTGCGCTAATGGAGACGGACGGCGCCTCGGCGTCCTGCCCGCCCGCTTCATGAAATCTTCGCAGCCTTGTTTCGGCTGGACCCGCATCCGGCGCAGGGCCTGACGCAGATGCTCGCACAGAAGGGTGATGGGTGTCGGTTGTGGCGTGAGAGAAAAAAACGGGACGGTGCTCCCTTTCTAGTGGGTGTGAGGCAGGAGCAGTCGGTACCCAGTTGAAAATGCCTTCACTCTCCCTTGTATGGTGGAAGGTGTGAAGACTGGGGTGGTGTGTCTGGAGCGCGGAGTGGCCCAGTCGAGACCCGGTGTGAGAGGGCGGGGTGTGGGCCTGCGAGACCTCTGATGGGTGAGCCATCGCGGCTCAGGGGGCCGCGGGGCAGGAAGTACACTTCCTGCCGAAGAGCACTTGGGGCCGTTTCTGGTTTTACAGAAGCACGGGGCTGAGGGTAGGGGCCGTGGGTAGTGCATGCCACAGTGGGGGCTCCATTCCCGCTGGAACTGGAACGGGGTGCCTTTAAAGAAAAGGTGACCCAACTCTGTTGCATGCTGGGACGCCGAGCCTACCTGTGCCGTGACAGGCAGGGCCGTTCAGACCCCGTGAAGAACCTGAAGTGGACAACACTGCTGTGGAACAGGGGCCTCATGTCCAGCTCCGGCTCCGTTATTGATGTTTGACTCCAGGCAGAAAACGCAACGGCCGTTTGTAAGAGCTGTCCAGTTCCGGGGAGCAGGCTGGACATCGCAGGGTGGTCCATTTGTCTGCGCTAGTATTTTTCTTTGTGCTCGTATGTCAGCCACTGCCCTGCTAGGTTAGGCACGTGCAGTAAGACTGCGAATTGGTTCCTGTGCCGGTCCAGCACAGCCAGCTGGACCCCTGTGGGGCCAAGCAGCGCCAGTCAGCCAGCAGGAAGTCCCCAGCGAGCTGCACTGTAGCCCTCACTCGTTCCTGCTGCAGGGTCAGGCATTGCGTCTTCAAGGGGAGTCCAGACAGGCCCCCTGCAGCCATGCCCCCCCCGGAGGAGCCCGGCGCTGGGACTCTGTCCTCTCCGAGAGGGACTCTTCTAGAGCCACGTCTCCCCTAGAGCTCTGCGGTGCTGAGTGTGTCTCCTGCACCTCGGGGTCCAGTGTCCGGGATCCAGGTCGCTCCCCGACAGCGGGACGATCCCCTCTGTTCTCCCTGGGGGGGCGGTGGGGGCTCCCCTGAGGTCCAAGAGGTGTTCCGGGAGAGGCTTGGGAATCTTCCTTCCGGGCTCCGGACCCGGCCCTCGTGGTGGCAGAAGCCGAGAGGGCACACGGGGGCGCTGTGTTGAGCAAACGAGATGCCTCCCTCCCCCAGCAGTGACTGACCCTAAATAAGGCCCTCTAATACGGTAGGTGGCAAGAGCTCTCGGTTCTCTTCAGGGCCTGGTGCTGCACTGAAAGTTTGATCCACTCACAAGTTGCAAAATACAGTCATAGTGCCCGGCGATCAGTGTCTGTTTGACAGAGACTGATTGGTTCTGTGTTGCCGGATCCTGTTACTAAGTGCCACATGTCATTTCTGAATCCCTGCAGAGATCTAAGCCCAGACTTGACGTGTCATTATACACACAGCAGACGAGTGAGATTCAGCGATAGTGCTCTTTCTAACTGGCCTGGTTCTGTCTCCCCCAAAGTCTGCGATCCCACTGGACGAGCCAGGCGCCGCTGTGAACCAGTCACTCATCCAGGAGCTGCCAGTGCCCACTGCTACCAGCACCGCCCGCTGAGGGAAGGACAGCCGCCATGGGGAATATTTTCGGGAACCTGCTGAAGAGCCTGATTGGGAAGAAGGAGATGCGAATCCTGATGGTGGGGCTGGACGCGGCCGGCAAGACGACCATCCTGTACAAGCTGAAGCTCGGCGAGATCGTCACCACCATCCCCACCATTGGTACAGCACGCTGTTCTCACCCACTTCCAGCCTGCCTGGGTGTAAACCACAGTCCCTCTCGTCAGATTGTTATCCGGGTTGGCTTCCTCTGTAGACCTCAGCATGTGGTTATGTGTTTTTCAGGCTTTGTTCAGTCCTAGAAGCTCGCTTCAGCCTTATTATTCTGCTTGTATTTGCTTCTGGCGTAATACAAAAGGTGGATTGTGGGTGACCGGCAGGGCTGGCAGTGTGGAGCTGTTCACCCATTGTAGCACCGGTTGCGCCCACCTCTGTGCAGATAAATGAGCTGTGATCCAGCAAGGTTAGAGCTGGGAGCTGTCACTGCGTGGGCTGAAGGGAATAAGTAGAGGTTCCAAGGTTTCTTTTTACTGTGCAGCGAGGAATTGACTTCGGCTTGTCACCTGAAGGGAGCAGAGTCTGTGCATGGTGTTTGCAGTGTGGTGACAATTTACAGTGCTCAGTGTCAGTGCTGACGCATCGGTGGTGCCCGGTGTCGGGGGAGAGGGCTGGCGTGTCGGGGG